TTAATTATTAAACTGCTTTAGTATCTTCAAAGTAAAAACAAACAATAATTACATTAATAATGGCCAACAAACAAAACCACGAAGTTGAAAGAAAATGCCACTTAATAGACAATCAACACTTATACAAAAAGCCTAAAAACGTTGCAGTAGCTCCTAATGATTAAAATGTTATTATAAGTTGTTGTTGAAAAGTTATGTTTATTCTTTGCTGCAAAGTCTAAAATGTTTTGAAAGAAACATTAGCTTCTCGTATGGGTGCTGTTCATTCAGTTAAATTTCAAATGTCAAGTTTGTGGGTTTAAAAGCTTCTTTACATTAAATCATACAGGAAGTATATTTATATATGGTAGACAAAAATTTGATGCATATATAGTATTTACATTGCTTTTAAAAGAAGTTGAAAGAGAATGGACTAAAATTGTTTTGAAGCATTCTTCTCCTTTTTTATGATTATAGGTATACCTTTAAGTATTTAAGATATACCTTTAAGTAGATATACCTTTTTATGATTATAGATATACCTTTACCTTAAAGGTATACCTTTAAGATACTAAATTAATTTGATAATTAAATCAACATATTAGTTAATTTATCTTATTTGTTTACATAGACTTTAGAATTACTAGAAAAGTTTCATTATTCATTCAGCATACTTAAAAAATATTTTAACTATGTATGCCAAACACAAACCCATAAAAGTGTTTAAGAAATAATTAATTACTTTAATTGTAAAAGTTTTTAAGAGGAGACTTTATACTGTTTTTAAGTTGATAAAGTTATTTTTTATAATGTTTAGAAAGCAAGATACTCAGTAAAGTTTCAGTTTAAACACGACTAAATTAATTATATGGTGAGATAGATTCTACATAAATTTAATCAAACTTAAAAAAACTTCACTCTTTTTTTATAGAAAATCCCATATAAGATATAGTTATAAGATTTAGTAATATTATCTTATAATTATAACTTATATGAAATTATAAGAAAGTATATTAAGCTAGCAGACAGTCAATCATGCTATAATTAAAGACAAAGTTATCTACAAAATGCAGTTGACGACTAAGAGCAAAAACTTTGATTATCATCTTTCTCTCGTAAAAAAGAGACGCAAGGCAACGCTATATATCGTGACGTCATCCGAAAGCTATCTTTTATAATCATAATCATAATCATATAATATATAATATAATCGCTTATGATTAATACTTAATTTAACACTGCTGCTACTGCTGCCCATTCGTGTGCGTTTACACGGACTTTTTTAGCATTTATTATAAATAGGATTTAGCATGCTCCTTCTTATTATACTTTTGAAAACACGCGATGAGGTACTCATCAGTTAATATCTGCTTGATCAGTAGTAAGATCGAAAACTTTGCTTCATCAGCTTAATTAGAAATAAGATCAACAATTTTTATTTGATAACTTCTGTAGTAAAGGTTGCTATTTATGAATTAGTAAAGTAACTTTTAAAGTCAGGTAATTTATTTAATTCATGCATTATAATAATAACACAATTCAAGTCCTTTGTCAATTGTATTAAAGTATATTAATCTATAATTTTTAAATTAGAAGACGATGATAACTCAAGAAGACGATGCTCTTTTCTTTTTTTTTTATTTTTATTTAAATTTTTTTTAAATATTTTTTATTGCATCTCACCGTCAACAATATGCTACATATTAAAGAACAAGATTTTTACCTTATTTTAAAGACAAAAAAAAAAATCTGTTTGCTTTTATATAAAAAACCATATCGTTTGATCGTTTGTTTTTCCAAGTTGTTAAACATTAATTAAACAAATATTACAAAAATAAGGTTGTACTTGTAAAGTTTCTAATTTATATATTTTTCCTAATTTATATATTTATTTATATTTGTGTGTTACTTAATATGTGTTTATATGTGTTAAGTCTATATAGGTTTATATTTTGTAAGTGTGTAAATATCTTTTATATATGAAGTGTTTCTATGTTTGTGATATAATGTTATTTGTTTATAGTTTGTATGTGGTTATTATGTTGTTAGCATGGTTTCAAATTGTTGTGACTTAGTTTTCAGCAAGAGTGTTGACTTTGTTAGTCATGTGGTGTACTTTGCTATAATGTAACTTGGCTTTGTTGGGAGCAAGATTGTTGTCGCTGCTAATTAAGTGGTGTATTGTCATGATGAAACACATAAACTAAATCTGTTTGTAGTTAGTGTAGTCATAAAAAGTGTTAAAAAAATATTATTAAAAGAATGTGTTTATATAAAATGTTGAAAAGATATATAGTTTTTTAATATCTATAATTTTTTTAATATTTATAATTTTAAGTAAATTTCATTGAATAGATTTATACTTTATTAAATATTTTTTATACTGTTACTTTTTGAGTTATTGTTTAAAAGATATATACTATGTTCTTTATTGTTAACAATTTATGCTTTTTATGATAAATATTGTTAAAAAACTGGCTTCCTTTTTTACAAACAGCTCCTTCCCATTTAAACATTTAAGGGTCTTTATTTCCTACATTAAATATGTTTAACTTAAATTTATTGTTTGTTTTTTTATAAAGGTATGCATACAAAGTGTTACATAAATTTAGTAACTTTCATTAAATTTGAGAAAAAATGAGAAAAAATCCCCCCAGTAAAAATCCCCCCGAGAAAAAATTCCCCCGGAAAATATCCCCCTCAAAAAAACTTTTTTTTACCTAAAAAATATAAATATGTAGTTAAGTTTATTTTTTTATTTATTTCATATATTTATATAAAATACTTCATTTTTCATCAAAATGTCAAGTTATGTGCTATTCCTCGAAGGTAGCGAATGTAAAACCCTAACCATAACCCTGGCGAACTGCGAACTGGTAAAATGTGACCTTTTTTGCGAACAATCGTAGTTAATTTAGCGGGATATTTTAAGGACTTTTAAGTGAAAAAATTATTAAAAAAAAAATAAAAAGAAATTAAGTGAAACTAGACGAATACAATATGAAAAAACAATAATTATATTTTTCAATTATTTGATAAATTGCCTGCCCATACCAAACCATAGTAGCAGCACTCCGTTGCGAGTCAGGCTATTTGTCAGTCGATGTAGGAGCACTCCTTTGTGAGTCAGGCAATAAAATAGTCAATGTAGCAACACTCCGCGCATGTTCTACATTTAAAAAATAAAAGTTTTATTTTAAATAAAGCTTTAAAATAGATAATTAAGAATTCGAGAGTTTTATTTTATTATTATTCTTATCATAAGAATAATGGTCTTTAAAATATGATTTGTTTCGCAAAAAAGTTCGCATTTTAGCGGTTTGCAGTTCGCGGTTCGCAGTTTGCATTTTACCGACAACCGAGGAATAGCGCATGACTTGACATTTTGATGAAAAATGAAGTATTTTATAAAATTATTTAAAATAAATAAATATAACTACTTTATTAATAATTTTTAACTGAAAAAAAAAAATTATTTGTAGAAAAAACCCCCTCGGGATAATTTATGGGGTGTTTTTTTCTCGGGGGGACTATTTCTAGGGGGATTTTTTCTCGGGAGAATTATTTCGGGGGAGGGGGGAAGAGGGGGTCCCGGGGGATTTTTTCCCGGGGGATTTTTTCCTGCTACCGAATGTTTTTGTTCAATATAGACATACAGTTAAACTATTAAAAACTGTTATGTTTTTTTAATATGTTAATAAATGTGTAAATAAAAATACCTTTGATTTTACAAAGGTATTCGGCATTTTTTTTGAAACCTTTTTTTTCAATTTTTTTTTTTTCGAATTTCAAATTCGTCATGATTCGTATTTTATCTGTGTTAATATGCAAATATTTGAGGTAAACTTCAAATTATGCAAATTATTAAAAATTATATCAAATGTTGCACATTTACTTTTACTTGAAAATTTTATTAGGGCAATATTTGCTTAATTTTGATTTATATGAATTTTTATAAAGCATTTATATGCCGTTTTATAAAGTTTAATAAGTCTTTAGTTTATTAAACAGTGCTAAAAGATAATATTGTAACATGCCAAAGTGGCTGAAGTAATTCGCGTGGGTGTAAACCTTTTGGTTTTTACACTTAATTTTTTTTAAAGAAGAGCAATTTTAAAGGTCTATAGAGATTATATGGATATCATATATAAAGAAATTATATATTATAACAAACGAAAGGGAGAGAATTTTTTAAAAAGCTTTTTAAAATTTGTAAAAACACGAAAATACCGTTGGACGTTTGTTGCACGCGTATGTCACGATAGAGGTATAGGTTTTAATGGGCATAGTAATAGATAAGTGTGCGCATTAAAGAGATAACTTTCTTTTTTATAGAAAAAAAGACTTTACATTGAAACTTTACTTTTCTTTAAAATTAACAGAGCAAGAATCCTAAGGACAGGTATCTTTTTCCGAATTTTTCTCAACTTTTAGTTTTTCCGGACAGCCAAAACGTTTTCTATACATATACAAGTTCTATACATATACAAATACATTTTTGTAATATTTGTTTTTTAAGCTTTTACGCTTATCACTCATACTAAAATTAAAAAAAAATTGAAACAACTCAGTTAAAAGCAAAGTTAAGAGGAAAATATATTCCGCATATTTTACCCAATCAATTTTCCGCATTTTTATAAAATAACCTTGATGATCTATGGAATAAGCTGCTGATGGCCTAAAAAAAAGTTAATAGAAACTTGTTACAGAAAAAAATAATAAGGTCTGTCCCCGTTTTATATATATATATATATATATATATATATATATATATATATATATATATATATATATATATATATATATATATATATATATATATATATATATATATATATATATATATATATATATATATATATATATATATATATATATATATATATATATGTATATATATATATATATATGTATATATATATATATATATATATATATATATATATATATATATATATATATATATTAAAAATATTCATAAAGCATATATATATATATATATAATTATATTTATTTAGTTTTGTATTTTATGTCGTAAAAGTGATAATGAAGATCGGTTGTTACTATGTGATGCTTGTGATCGCGGTTGCCATATGTACTGCTGCAAGGTAATTTATCTCATATAATACTGTATATAATAAATATAATTTATTTATAATACTGACATTTTAAATAAAACATCAAAAAAATGTAATTGCATAGACAAAAATATTTGTCCGTTAAATAACCAATGCCTTTTTAGCAATATCGTATACCAAGCCACTGTAAGTTCTGGTGATCCTCAATGCAAAGATAAAGTTTATTTCGGTATAAGTGAAACCACATTTAAATTAAGATATGCCAACCATCTTAAATCTTTCAATGCACCCAAATATAAAAATGACACTGAACTTTCCAAAGAAATATGGGAGCTAAAATCGAAACATATAAATCCTGTGATTATATAGAAGATAATAGCACAATGTAAGCCCTACAATCAAGCATCAAAAGTTTGTAATCTTTGTCTCCGCGAGAAGTTTCACATATTATCATATAAAGGAGAAAACTTACTTAATAAAAGATATGAAATAATATCAAAGTGCCGGCATTCAAAAAAATTTTTACTATCCTTATTTGATACCGGGGACTAAAACCTTTGACGTCTTTTTGTTTTGTTTGGTAACGTCAGAACTCGTTCCACCTTGTAATTTTTTAACGGTTTTTAAGTGACGAAATACACAATGGCTGATTAAATATAATAGAAAAATTACCTTTTAGCTTTAAAAAGTAAACAATTAGTATTGTTATTATATATGTATTTAATTATTTTTCTACCTCTTACTAAAATATATTGAAGTAAGGAATAAGTATAGAAAAGGTCGGATGGAATAGACTTACCAAGACCCATATTTTACGGGTCATGACAGCTAGTATAATATAAAATTTTTATATATATTTGTGTTGTTTATCGTTACTTTACTTTTTTTAATAAGGAATACATTATCAATATAAAACCAATAAATTTTTTTTTTAAATAAAGGTTTTAAATACCAAATATTCACTTATACAATAGTAATACTATTACTAGTGGTTCTTAACAAAACATATAATTATATCATTTTTGTTTAGTACTAAACGTAAATGATACTATTATAATTATAGTTTTAATGATATCATTTATACTTTTTGTTTTTCTTATTTAATAATAATTATTAATAGGTTATTATCATGATAATAAGGGTAAAAATAACAACGACACTAATAGTTTATATAATCATTGTATAAATTAATGATGTCGTTGTTAAAAAAATCCACTCGGGCTACAAAACGTCGTTGTAACAAAACTCCACTGGGGGTAAAAAATATTTAGTTACAGATTGTCCTAAATCACCTAAGTTTGTAAAAACAAAATTTGCAGCTGATGTCTTGAAACAGAGTTTTGCGCCTAAAACTAAAAGTGGAATAATACTTGTAAAATCTTTATTTGAACTTGACACAAATACAAGTAATAATGAAGGTGTGTCAGGTTTAATAAGCAATTCATGTGACAACAACATTACCAGTTTTGTAAAAAAGGTAGGCACCAATCCACAATGAGTGTGGTTGCTAATGACTTACATTCTGATCTCCAAGAGTGTTCTTTTTCAAAATCTTCAGAAAAGACTGTTAGTTCAACCTCTATTTTACCTCTCAATCAAAAACCTATATCATATTTTTGTGATAAAATGTTAGCACAAGAGTGCGATGAAATAAATATACAATATACAAAAGCGATTTATTTATCAGCCAGCCTTTTCAGCATGTCAAAAAATACATTTTGGATCAACTTCTTTAAAAAGATTTTTTAGACACAGTATATGACCAAGGAAATAAATTCAAACAAGAACTGATATCCCAGGCAGAAACACTTGTTCTCATGATAGATGGTTGGTCTTGTATAAATAATGATTCACACATGCAGATTATGTTAGCTACTCCGACTACAAAATACATAAAAAGTATTCATCCAAATAAAAAACTCCCACACCCGACAATACCTATTTGATCAAATGGTTGAGATTATTGAAGATCAAAATGTTATATCGAAAAAGAAAAAAAAAAAAAGCTTTTTGCACTGACAATGCATCAGCCATGGTGACTGTTTGGAAATTGATTGAAAATAAATATGATTGGATGTCAAAATATGGATGTTTTTCTCACGGTCTAAATTTATTAGCTTGTGATCTAGTAAAGAAGAACAACTTAATTTTTGAAATACTAAAGCAAAATAAACAAATAGTTTTTCAAAAATAAATGTTTTAATAAGTTTCCTTGAGCGCTGTAATCTACAATCTTTGAAAAAAAGTTTGACTTAAATTCTTACTGTTGTAACAAGATGGTCATCTCAGTTTTCAATATTACAGCGCAATTTGCGTCTTTGTGACTCATTGCGAGTTGAAATAACTGATAACAAAGCACAAGAATATATTGAAAAACACAATAAAAGAAAAGGAATTAACCTTAAAGAGTTATTGTTAAATGAATTATTCTGGAAAAGAACATATTTAGCTTACAAACTACTAAAACCTGTATCAGAGGCAACATATAAGAGATATCTGATGTGTTGCAAAACTCAACACAACTGACTTTACAAGAAAAAGAGATTATTACTACTTGAGTTAAAAAGCGTGAAGACTTTGTCATTAGACCAATACACTTTGCAGCTAATTTGCTTGATCCCAGATTTGCTGATAAAGAGTTAAATCATTCTAAAATGCTTTTTAGCTGAGCGTAGTGTAGTGAGTGTAGTGGAATATATTCATGAATATATTCCACTACAAGCTTTAAAATTCATTAATTCATCCAATATAACATCAGCAGCTACTGTTTCATTTTCAGCTATTCTGCAGAATAGCTAAAAATTATTTTCAATATTGTTTATTATCAAAGAGTAAAGTAGTAAATTCTTTTTTTTTTTTTGAACAAATTTTCCCGGAAATTTTCATCACTACTATATAGATGCGATTGCATAGATAAAAAGTCTCAGGGCACGACAGGAAATCAAGGATAGAGGCCGGAAACATTTTTCCTATATAAAAATGTATTTTTCAAAAATCCACTCCGACGCTCTGGTCCCTTGATCACCGTGGTCTCCCAGAACGTGTCAGTGTGTCCCTGGATAAAACCATTATATATTACCGGTGTGTCCCTGGATATAACCATATATATATATATATATATATATATATATATATATATATATATATATATATATATATATATGATATATATATATATATATATATATATATATATATGTATATATATATATATATGTATATATATATATATCTATATCTATATATATATATATATATATATATATATATATATATATATATATATATATATATATATATATATATATATATATATATATATATATATATATATATATATATATATATATATATGTATATATATATATATATATATATATATATATATATATATATATATATATATATATATATATATATATATATATATATATATATATATATATATATATCAGCATCAAAATTAGCATCTGCTGAAGTCGCTTCTCTTTATCGAGCTCGTCACTTTCTTACTCTAGATTCTATTCTCTATCTCTATAAATCTCAAATCCGGCCTTGTATGGAATACTGTTGCCATATCTGGGGTGGATCTTCTAATCATGCCCTTTCTCTTTTAAATAAGGTGCAAAAACGCATTGTAAACATAGTTGGACCTACTCTTGCAGCCAACCTTCAACCTCTGTCAAATCGTCGTAATGTTGCTTCTCTTTCTCTTTTCTACAAATACTATAATGGGCACTGCTCTAAAGAGCTAGCGTCTCTTGTGCCATTCATTCTCGTGTTACTCGTCATTCAATTAAGTCTCATCCTTTTTCTGTTACTGTTCCTAAGTGCTCCAAAAACTCTTATTCGTCTAGTTTTTTTCCTCGAACATCAGTTCTTTTGAATTCGCTTCCTTCATCTTGCTTTCCTGATTCATATAATTTGCAATCTTTTAAGTCGTCTGTCAATCGTTATCTTGCTCTACAATCTTCATCTTTTCTCTTCCAGTAACTTCCAACACTAATTAGTGTTTGCTTGCAGCCTTGTTGGAAGCGAAGATATTGAAAAAAAAAAAAAGACATATATATGTATATATATATATATATATATATATATATATATATATATATATATATATATATATATATATATATATATATATATATATATATATATCGATTAATGTTAAATTTGTATTACAATAGTAATACAAAACTCTATTTCGGTTAAGAGTGCTCAATAATAAAAAAAGTAAACAACTGTCGCTCCACTGTATTTTGTAATTTTATTAACGGTTTGTTTGTTTTTGATATAGTACATGGCTGATGATTGCCGTATTGGCATGAAACTATTAGTCCCATGAAAAGTTGTTTTTTCTATATGAAAATAAAAATATATATATATATATATATATATATATATATATATATATATATATATATATATATATATATATATATATATATATATATATATATATATATATATATATATATATATATATATATATATATATATATATATATATATATATATATATATATATATATATATGTATATATATATATATATATATATATATATATATATATATATATATAGATATATATATATATATATATATATATATATATATATATATATATATATATATATATATATATATATATATATATATATATATATATATATATATATAGTATATATATATATATATATATATATATATATATATATATATATATATATATATATCTATATATATATATATATATATATATATATATATATATATATATATATATTATATATATATATATATATATATATATATATATATATATATATATATATATATATATATATACAATAATCTAATTATAAAAATAATCTATATATAAAAAAGATAACGTGCAGGAGCATTTATCCTCACCAAGCCTAATGAACCAACACATTCCCCTTAGTTTCCCAAAGCGCTTTGTTCAAAGCGCGTATTGCCAAGATGTGAAGCACAATGCACCAAATTTGGCAATAATAAATAAGTGTCATTATCTGAAAATTCGTCAAACTTCTTCATTAAACTTTGTCTTTTTATTATAATAGAGCTATCACTTTTACTAAATACAGCTATTCGTTTTATCTGTAAAAACATGCCCCACTCCGCTCTCAATTTTGAGTAAAACTTACAAATCCTCTCACCCCCCCCCCCCCTCACCAAGCAGGTGCTTCTTGAATAAACAGTATTAGACGTCACTTGTGGCGTGTAATTAATAATTCTTTGCAATTTCGTTTATTATCTAGCAAATTAACTTTTTTTTTTTTCCGGAAATTATAGTCGAATTTTCGCAAAACTTTTTTAATAAAAATTCATAAAAATGGAAAATCACAAATATATGTGATTTTTCATTTTTATGTATATTTAGATGATGTATAATAAAATTATCTAAATACAAAAAAGATTACGCGTATAATTCTTTGCAATATTGTTTATTTTCTAAGAGTAAAGTAGTAAAATCAAATATTTTTT